GGGCACCCTGGTTGAAAATCACAATTCCAATCCTTTGCAGACAAACTTGTCTGAGCTGATTTACTTATCTGACATCCATCTGTTTGTTCAAAAGTGCCCCTCTTGAATAGGAGTCATCAAAGCTTAATGGACCTTCCTTATCCCTTGTCCAGGAAATATGTAATAGAGCCCCAATAGCATATGGCTGACTCTTACACATACTGTGAAGCATTCAATGAAAAGACTATCACAGCCTCAATCACAGTACCTAGGTTGTACATAGAATGATTCCCCAAATTTTCACACCAGCAAAAGTGCTGTTTTTATTGATACAACTATATTTATAGTAAGGGAACTTGGGAGGCCCTGCCGTTAAATGAAAGCTGGGAATCTCGAGGACAACTAGGAGGCTGTTTAGGTAGTGTATCCAGCTCCTTATGCTGTCTTTCCCCCCTCCCGCAAGCAAACATTTTACTTTTGTGTACAGCTTCTGCTCTGGGGAAATATTGATGTGTAGATGGTTTGTTTGAAGAAATAGCTTGTAAAGTGTAGTGTGGGGTTGCTCAATAGCTAAAGCCTATTTGAGGTGTCAGGGTAGCATGGTGGAAGACAAAGTTCAGTGCAGGACAAGGGTAAAGTGAAGAGTAAAAAAAGAATAGGAAATGCTAGAAAAAAAGTGGTGCATAGCATGGGAATGAGAGCCTGCTAAAATATCCCATGACACTTCATGCACTACATATTTTTTTGTGTAATAGTCACTTATAGAAAATAATTTACAGTGTGTGAGACTAATTGCACACTTGGTGTTTCATTGTTAGAATGTAATTGATTCTTTGCCTTTCTACTGATCTGTTCTTTTAACCTGAACTATCTTATGTGTAGTTTTAACTTAGTGTAAAGTTCCTTGTAGTAATCAATGCAAGTTTAAATACGTAATGCATTACAAATGAAAAAGCAATAATCGATGTGTCATCAGTATCTTCTTGAACTGGTATCACTGACCTTGCATAACAGTAACATTTGCTGTAAATTGGTACAAGGAAGATGTTCTGTAATTATCGGTAAAGATCTGACTGTTCTGATGAAACTTAAGTGGTTCCTCTTTTTTGTTTTAAATAGCTCTTGTGATTCTCAGGGAGAGACAAAATTAAAAATAAAATGTAAGCTTTTGCGTGGGTATCTTCAAATTTTATTATGTATATTGTAGAGTTCAGTAAATTACATTAAACAAAATTACTGTAAAGCTTTTTCACACCTGGAATAGCAGTTCACTGTTTCAGATAATAGGTAAATTCTTGTCATGACCATCTCAAGGTTAAAAATATTTCTCTCAAGTTCAGACTGATTTTTGTCTTGTGCGCTTACTGCACTTTGTGTGCGACTAAAGTAAAACTTTATTCATTATATTATCTATTGTGTGTTTAACAAATTATTTAGGCTTTTTAAAAATACATGCTAAAAATTGTGCAAAGCTGGTGTTTTGTTTTTTTCCTTTTTTTTTTGGTCCCACCTTACGAGATCTGTCATGAGTTGTTCAAATTGGAGGTTTTATTTAACAGGTCTACAACTCTAGATGTTTTGATAGTGGTGTGCTTGTGTCCTTTGTAGTGAAGCATTTAAAATCCAAACTTTCAAGGGGGCTCCAATGTCCTGAGTTTTGGACTCATTCTTTTAAACATTATCTTTTGTGTGCAGTGCTGACAAAGCACAAACGTAGGAAGGCATTGCTTACACAGTCAAAGATGTACACTTACTTTGTTTTAAAAATTGCACCATGTTTGTTTCTTGGTATTTTTAATTTATTGCTTCAAATTCTTAAAGATCCATGCTATTCCTTGTCAATAATAGAAGATTAATCATAATTGTACAAGTAGGCCTTGTTAGAAATGTTAGCTTTGTGATTACAAACCTTGTTTTTTTTCAGGAATTTATAACTTGGCTTAGGGAATACTTTACCCCC